ACCGAAGAGAACGAGCGTCGGGGAAGCGGCGGTGGGGGGGAAGAAACGGCAACCAAGTACTGCTATGAAGCGAGTAGGGCGGCCGAGGCAGCACTTGTGGCGAACTATGTACCCGGCTGATGTTGTTGCGCTCTGTTACCCTCCCTGCCGTATGCTATACTCCTTTATGTATGTCCTTTGTATTGCCTTCGGCCTCTGTGCTGTGTTTCTGTTTTTTTCATGTCCTCCCTGCCTACTCTGCTCTGTGGATACCTTGATCTCGCTTTGCTGTTGCTTTTGTTTTTATACATCTAACTGTCTGCCCATCTGCCGCCTCTTTGTCCTGTTTGGTCCGTTACTCCCATGCCCTGGTGCGTAGTGCCTGGTGCTGGTACGTTACCCTTTGATTTTTCCTTTGGGCGGGTGTGGGAAGCGTCCTCCTTTATTTTTGTTTTATTTTGATGGGTTTCCGAGGGCTCTTTTCTCGAACGGTCGGTGCGGTACCTGTTCTTTTCTTTATATCATTTTGTTTTCTTTTTCCGAGTGGTTTGTACCCTATTTTTGTTTTGTTTCCCCGCGGCGTCTTATGTGCCGGGTTTTGAGACCACGGGCTCCCCATTTTTTGTGGACTATACAAGCTCATGTGAGAAACAACAACAAGTACTGAGTTCTACCAACCGAGAGAGCAGAACGAAATACGGAAAGATCCTGTGCAACGGGACTGACCCTATCCTTCTCCTTGAAGAAAGCTGCTGCTGCTGCTGCTGCTGCTGATGCCGCTGCTGTGTTGGGTATGTGGGTCGGCAAGTGATTACCGCCGCACACAGGCATGGCATATAGATGTTGTGCTATACGAAAATCTTCAGGAATTTGAACTGCTGTTGCATGCAAATAATCTGTGCAAGTGTCTATGCATATGCATGCACAGCAGAAGTACGCATGAACAGCAGTCGTGCATGTACAACAGAATAGTAGAGGGACGGTCTCGAGGCGCTACGATTCATTTACAACGCTCTTTTTTCGCACGTTTCGTGCGCTGTCAAGCACAGCGGGTCAATTCGCATGCCGGGAGCATGTTTGAGCCAAGATTCAAGGTAACATAGATGTACAGAGTATGCTATTCACTACATGCGTGTAGTCTATGTATACAGCAGTAGATCAAATATCCTGGGCGGATGACGGTAAGACGTACAAATGATTCCAACCCGAGCCGCTAATCCGTGCGAGTTATTTGTCGAGTCACATTTCGGCAAGCAGCGGGTGTATTGATTGATGGATGTATTGATGGTGCGTATACATGATGTGTGGAGCCTAGGGTCGGCAGAAGGACGGTGACGTCTGTAGAGTCGTTCGTCCCCTTGAAGGTGGAGCAGGACCCAAGGAGCCCACAGCCAAACCAACTTCCCGAACACCGGCTTGAGGGTTGGGCGGGTACAGCCTCGTGTGTGTCTGGTCGTTGCTTTATCCAAACACTAGGAAGAGTCACCTAGCTGTAAATTTGTGGGGACGAATAGATCTCCGCCAACGGTTAAACCTCAGTCGTATGCATGTCATGAACGATGAACAGACACGCAGACTGAGACCCCCCCCCCCCCCCCCCCC